ACACCTAAGTATTTCTGTACAAATGTCCAAACCACTCTCTCTGATCAGTGTAACAGCAATAGAAGGAAGTAAAGTAGACTGACAGTAAACGTTTCTATAAAGGACTTGCAGAGATGTGCGTCAGAGGCGTGAAATTCAATTTGATCACACCTAAGTATTTCTGTACAAATGTCCAAACCACTCTCTCTGATCAGTGTAACAGCAATAGAAGGAAGTAAAGTAGACTGACAGTAAACGTTACTATAAAGGACTTGCAGAGATGTGCGTCAGAGGCGCGAAATTAAATTTGATCACACCTAAGTATTTCTGTACAATTATTTTCACACAACACTGTGTGAACTACATTTTGGAAAGAAGAGAAAAACTATGCTGTGTTTAACTCGAAGTTTGAACTGATAAATTCTCAGGTATAAAGTTACACGATTTATCGATATGGAATTTGGTTCGGTAAAAATTTCTGCGGAAAACGTTAAACCTTTAGAGAAATAATTTAACTGTTTGAGATTTTTTAAAATTAACATATAATAAGGCAATATCGCGGAAATGGAATAGGCTTTTCTATTAAAACATCAAAAATCTTTCAGATACGAACGAAACGAGACAGACTTCCTAGCCCCCCCCCCACACACACACACATTTCATACAACGCAACTATATAGCTTTGTGTACGATAGATCTTTATCCCGTGTTTTGTTTTAATCAAGAACAATCAACAAAGTACACATAAGAGTACTCACTAATGGTCAGCAGCTGACTCATCACCCAGGATAATTATTTAAACTGAACGCTTTCTACACCAGGAGAAACTGGCAAAAGGCGATAGCTATGAATTGAACTTCTGCACGTGTCGGAAGCGCCGGCAGAATACGAACTGCGCTCATCACGCAGATCGTATGTCACGTGCAGGAAAATTTTCGAATTGATTCAAACGAAAATGAACCCGTTTGAGGTTCAGAATAAATGGAGACGGTTAGTAATCTATTGTTTGGGTTTGGGGGAGAAGAGTGGATGTTATCTTTGGTTTCGTGCATTTAGTACGTACAAGGAAGTTATATCAATAAGAACACGTGAAACACGCATATTTAAAGCTTTTTTAACTTTTGATGTTATTCGCAACTTTAATTTTCTTCTTTTTTCTTTCACTCATTCCTTTGGTGTTTCTTTTACTTCGTCCTTTCAAACAATTAAATATAAAACGTTTAAACGATTTGTTTGTTTGTAATTATACACAATGGGCTATCTGTGCTCTGCCCACCACGGGTATCGAAACCCGGATTCTAGCGTTGTAAGTCCGCAGACATACCGCTGTGCCACTGGGGGGGGCCTTTTCAACGAAAACCGAGTTTTTGACAAACATCTACACACTAAGAAAGGGGTATAAGTTTCAGTGTTCGCTGTCATATTTAGGGTTTAAACGAAACATTCGTTTGTTTCCTCTTAAACGCAAAGCTACAAATTGGGCTATCTGTGTCCTGCCCACCGCAAGTATTGAAACCCGATTTTTAGCGGTAACGAAAATGTAAGTTGTTTTTTATATACTTTACTCGCATATCCGACTATATGAATAATCTCCAGTGAAATCCGACTATATGAATAATCTCCAGTGAAATCCGACTATATGAATGAATAATCTCCAGTGAGATCCGACTGTATGAATAATCTCCAGTGAAATCCGACTATATGAATAATCTCCAGTGAAATCCGACTATATGAATAATATCCAGTGAAATCCGACTATATGAATAATCTCCAGTGAAATCCGACTATATGAATAATCTCCAGTAAAAGCACTATAATGTCATTTTGAAGACAAAACACGTTTCCAAGCTCAGATGACCGGAGTTAAACGCTAGTTATAATTCTGGGGGAAAATAAAAATCCTTCTAGCGAATTATCAATCAAATTGGGTGAGCGCATTTTCTTTGTAACATAGTCAACGGGCATCTTTATCTCTCTGACTCTCAGATCCATAACAACGAAGAGTCTGGCTGAGTGAAACAAATATGTATTCTTACTATTTCATCTTCTGTCTGAGAAAACCTTATAATCGGTGTGCAACTCGAAACAGACGTATCTATGGCCTGTAGAGAAACAGGGTTTTCTTAATGCGACGTAAACAGTACTAAACCTTATTATATTAGACATTGAAAAATCACTCACGCCTTTTTGAAAACCTAGCATAGAGTCTGAAGTTTGAACCTTATCGCTTTCAACCACGCGCGCCTCTATTTTAAAAATTACTGTCAAGATTGAAGGATCGGATATTCGATTTCTGTATGTTTAGAACAGAATGTAATTGATATGGTTGTGTATAGTCTCAACCTAGTTGTATGAAAACGACCCTTAGTGCAGCGTGGTTTTTATTCATAGTTCGAATTAATTTGAAAATATTTATTTTTGTCAACTTTTAAGCTTATTTGCATCTAACACTTAAGTTTGTAAATTAGTTTGAAGACTGTAGCAGTTAACGTATTATTAATCAAAATTAACTGTTAAGTTAGTTGTGAATTTCGCGCAAAGCTACACTAGAGAGAAGGAAGCTAATCATCACCATCCACTGCCAACTCTTGGGCTACTATTTTACCAATGAACAGTCGGATTGACCGTCACATTATAACGGCTGAAAAGGCGAGGATGTTTGGTAGGATGAGGATTCGAGCCCGCAACTCTCAAATTGCGAGTCAAGCGCCCTAACCACCTGGCCTAACTGGTAAGTTAAGTAAAATAAGAAAGTAACTTCCTCATTTAGGACGTAAATGTGAAATAAAAATGTAACTTTCTTCTTCTCCAGATGTACATAAGTGGAGAAAATAAAATTAATTTGTTTGTGTAAATGTACATATAACACACGGAATTCATGTATAACGAAGCGTACAATTTTAATTCAAACACCGTACGACATTTACTTGGTTACACCATCTGAAGAAAGGAATGTACTAATAAATACGCACAAAGGAATGTACTAAAAAATACACACAAAGGAACGTACTAATAAATACACACAAAGGAATGTACTAAAAAATACACACAAAGGAACGTACTAATAAATACACACAAAGGAACGTACTAATAAATACACACAAAGGAATGTACTAAAAATACACACAAAGGAACGTACTAATAAATACACACAAAGGAATGTACTAATAGATACACACAAAGGAATGTACTAATAAATACACACAAAGGAATGTACTAAAAAATACACACAAAGGAACGTACTAATAAATACACACAAAGGAATGTACTAAAAAATACACACAAAGGAACGTACTAATAAATACACACAAAGGGATGTACTAATAGATACACACAAAGGAATGTACTAATAAATACACACAAAGGAATGTACAACTAGATACATACAAAAGAATGTACTAATAAATACACATGGAGGAATGTACTAATAGATACACACAAAGAAATATACTAACAAATACACACAAAGAAATGTACTAATAAATACACACAAAGAAATGTAATAAATAAATACAGACAAAGAAATGTACTAAATAAATACAGACAAAGGAATGTACTAAATAAATACAGACAAAGGAATGTAATAAACAAATACACACAAATGAGTGTACTAATAGATACACACAAAGGAATGTACTAAATAAATACAGAGAAAGGAATGTACTAATAGATACACACAAAGGAATGTACTAAATAAATACAGAGAAAGGAATGTACTAAATAAATATAGACAAAGGAATGTACTAATAGATACACGCAAAGGAATGTACTAATAGATACACACAAAGGAATGTACTAATGAATACACACGAAGTAATGTACTAATAAATATACATACAAAGGAATGTATTAATAAATACACACAAAGTAATGTACTAATAAATACACACAAGAGGAACGAGGGTATAATTGTCATCAGTTGTGACTGAGATGACTGTTATATTTCCCAGGAAATAGTGAAAATTGACGTGGTTTGTAAAACTTCAGTAAACAAGAAGGGAACACTTGATTAATGGCTGTGATGAAAAACGAAATAACCAACTCAGGTTTTTAAAGCAGCCACCATAAAGCATTAGGCGATGGTCTTAGAAAATGAAACTTAAAAATAAGAAACATTATTTCATAGAAATTCATTAACAAAACAATATCAACTGTTTCTTAACATATTTAAAAACAATGTTGACTGTTTCCTAACATGTTTAAAAACAATGTTGACTGTTTCCTAATATGGTTAATTAAATGGGTTAGCGTAGAAAAGAATTATTAATGCTAAGAATAAATGTTTGATAAACAGTGGGAAATGCTTACCAGTTATATGTCCGTTTTCATAGCCATGATACCCTCCGTCAAGCCTTCCTTTCTTCATTAAACTTGTGGGTGATGCGGGCATACCAACCATTGAAGCCCTCTTCGGTGGTCTCCCTGGCCTGCAACTGGACAGTCAGAAAACCCGTTACGTCGAAAAATACAGGGGATTGTCCACCCCTATCGGGGGTGGGATAAAAATTTACATCAGTCTATTCCCGTTAGAGATGCTGACTGTTGGACAGAAGCATCAACGAGAAGAGACTATGAGATGGTTAAAGTCAACGCTTAAAATGAGATAAGATTTCTTGAAAACAAACTGTGGATAACCGATTACATCATTTCTTATTATCAGTCATTTTAATTCGTTGTACTCAGTGACGACAAATTAGACTTACAGAAACATGAAGCTAATGATTGGGTGTATTTTCTTTACACATCTTGTATGAGCTATTACAACAATTCAATATCTTTTGATATTTCCACTTCTAGAATCATAATCCATTACAGACAGAAGCTATTACACTTAGTTTTGAAATTATTATGTATAGAAGAGAAAGAGGTTTACGTTTAAAACAACAAATAAACATTCATTTACTGGGAATTATTGTTCACAACTAAACTATGGAAACAATACTGATGTTGAGATCACTGTGCACAGCTAAACTATGGGAACAATACTAATGTCGAGATCACTGTGCACAACTAAACTATGGAAACAATAATAATGTCGAGATCACTGTGCACAGCTAAACTATGGGAACAATACTAATGTCGAGATCACTGTGCACAGCTAAACTATGGGAACAATACTAATGTCGAGATCACTGTTTAGTTGTGCACAGTGATCTCAACATTATTATTGTTCCCATAGTTTAGCTGTGCACAATGATCTCAACATTAGTATTGTTTCCATAGTTTAGTTGTGCACAGTGATCTCGACATTAGTATTGTTCCCATAGTTTAGTTGTGCACTATGGAAAGAACACTAATGTCCAGGTTATTGTGCACAACTAGACTATGGAAACAATACTAATGTCGAGATCATTGTGCACAGCTAAACTATGGGAACAATACTAATGTCTAGGTAACTGTTCACACTAAACCAAGGAAATGCCACTAATGTCCAGGTAACTGTTCACACTAAACAAAGGAAATACCACTAATGTTCAGGTAACTGTTCACACTAAACCAAGGAAATGCCACTAATGTCTAGGTAACTGTTCACACTAAACCAAGGAAATACCACTAATGTCCAGGTAACTGTTCACACTAAACAAAAGAAATACCACTAATGTCCAGGTAACTGTTCACACTAAACTAAGGAAACAAATACTCCAAGCTACAGATTATTATGTATAACTTCACTAAGGAAACAACAATAATGTGGAGGTTATTGTGACCTCGATAGCTTATTTTAATTCGAGTATACACAAAACAGAACAAATAACTTTCATTGTTTATCATATGAAATAGCGCCATTTTAAGGAAGGTAATAACACGAAATGCTCGTGCATGATCTGGTGTCAGGAAGGTATTGTGAAAAACAAGACACATTAATAATTATTCTTCCGCACAGTGTTAACAGTTAACACCGGAAAGTTTGTTGTGAATATGTACTTGAAAGAGATACACACTTCTGTAACTTCATACATTAAGACAATACAATCTTGTTTAGAATTCTGCAAGTGTAGCGTGCCGGACCATGGGTATGTCTGGGTAGCTTATAAAATTTAACAACCGCTAATAACGACTTACGTTTAACATTACTTTGGTAAATTTAATAATAGACGTCTATGTATTCAAACAAAGATTACGGTCAAACATAAGTTGAGATTCATAGAGCCATGAATAAATAATAGATCAAAACTTTCTTGTCCTAATCGTATGTTAGAAACATTTGAATTCCGAAAACAAAAGGAGGGAAGAGTTTTGACGCAGCTGGTAAACTCTCATGAGGACTTTGGGGAAGAGCCTGTAAAAAGTGGAAGGTTGGATAACACAATTCTCATCTTTCTCTGTAAGCAACTACAGCATTTTTATCACCATAACTACTGGGATGGTTACAGCTTCATTAAGACCTTTGTTCTATCCAATCACCATAACTACTGGGATGGTTACAGCTTCATTAAGACCTTTGCTCTATCCAATCACCATAACTACTGGGATGGTTACAGCTTCATTAAACACCTTTGCTCTATCCAATCACCATAACTACTGGGATGGTTACAGCTTCATTAAGACCTTAGCTCTATCCAATCACCATAACTACTGTGATGGTTACAGCTTCATTAAGACCTTTGCTCTATCCATAATAACCTGTATAAGGCACACTGGCAAATCCAGCTTTATGAGCTGTAAAGAAAGGTTTAGGTTTTAACATTTTGAAACGTAATTTTTGAACCTTTTGCTGTTTACCCCAAAACAACGCGTAAGGCAAACCCTACGGCTGCGTTATGTTATGTGTGAAAATTACAAACGAAAAATTTTAACAATTGTTTGGTTTTTTTTGTTTGTTTGTTTGTTTGAAGTGAAGCAGAAAACTACACAATTGGCTATCTGTGCTCTGCCCGCTACGGGTATCAAAACCCGGTTTCTAGCGTCGTAAGTCTGCAGACATACCGCTGTGCCACTGGGGGAGGGGCAAATTTTAACGAAAAAAAAACAGCACATCACAATTAGAGAAATCTTTGATTGTTGTCAACTTTGTTTCAGATATCGAGCACAAGTGGTCACTATATAAGCTACATTTATACCAAACTTCTCAGAATATTCGTCATAACGTAAGAATACTTTTGTGAGCAGCCTCTAAAATTGTCTGAAATGACACCGAAAACGTCCTCTTTTCATTTCTGACTCATGTCTTAACACAATAGATGATCGCGTCTACCCACGTACGTAATGACAAAGAATAATAGACATATATTCATAAAGGCCCTGTCGTACGACTGGGGTGAAACAATATGTCCTTACTCTAGGGGCCACCCAGTAATCAACATTCAGCAAGAATACACTCAGGAGTCTCTGTAAAACAAGTTATTAGCGAAAACAAAAGGGGATCATCAGTAGATTTACCTCTCCTCCGCAAATAACTATATTCAAATGAGGGGCGGAACCTGTTATGTCATTAAATAGGTACATACACATATACACCCACCTATAAGCCATTTATGTACCTCTCAGTGAGTTTGTATATATACATATATATATATGGTAAGATGGAGACCTACGAACTGAAATCTGGCGAAATAGAGAAATGAATAATGATTTGAAATACATTTAATAATCTGGACCAGTTTAAGGATGAAAAAGCTTAAAGTTAATTACAAATAGATAGATAATACTATTTCTCCTAGGCCATCTGACTAAATTGTGGCATACTATTTTTTAACAGAAACGTTCTAGTTAACGACCGCTCACTGACTGGTTAGTAAAAGTAGTGTTATCACAGTAGGATATTCTGGTTTCTTTTTTTCAAAATTATGTAAAATTTTACTAAAAGTTTGGTCCCCGTTGGGTTGGGTTCACCATGTACAACTTGGAACTCACATGCGAACAGAAAAAAAGCACAGATCCAAATCACTGTGCATGGGTGCGGATGTTGTAAAAGTCTGTACCTTGGGAATCGTTATTATGAACCATGATAATGAATGCATTTACTTGAAATAAAATGGTTGAACAGCGGGCTCTATAAAAGGACTGTTTGTATGCGCTAACACTCGTGCGCGCGCGCGTGTGTCCGCATGGGAAAAGGAGGGGTGCATTATTTGTATCCACATGTAATTGGACCAACATCTAATACAGGATTAGGTTAGCAAGCAGTTCCCTGTCATATCCAGAATAACTAGAAAAACTGATTAATACTTAACTGTTAAAAAAAGTAATTCTATTATCTTGTTCTGGTGAAATTAATAGAAACAATATTTCTGAAAATAAAAAAAAAAACAGACTTATATACAATAATATTACCACGTACTTGTTAAAGGCTGCTAACCGGAAGATTCAACGTTATCTCGTTATCACTTTCTCATACCGTTTATCTCTATAAAAAGCAATGCGAATTAATATTTCCCAAGAAATAAAGAAACGCTATTGTTTAAAATTCAATCTAATGATAACCGGCTTGTAACGACTAACTATGAAGTCTCATGATACTGTAAAGTCTGATTATGAAGTCCCACGATACTGTAAGGTCTGATTATGAAGTCTCATGATAACCGGGTTGTAAAATCTGATTATGAAATCTCACGATACTGTAAAGTCTGACTATGAAGTCTCACGATACTGTAACGTCTGATTATGAAGTCTCATGATAACCGCGTTGTAAAATCTTATTGTGAAATCTCACGATACTGTAAAGTCTGACTATGAAGTCTCACAATAACCGACTTGTAACGACTGACTATGAAGTCTCACGATACTGTAAAGTCTGATTATGAAGTCTCACGATACTGTGAAGTCTGACTATGAAGTCTCACGATAACCGGCTTGTAACGACTGACTATGAAGTCTCACGATACTGTAAAGTCTGACTATGAAGTCTCACGATAACCGGCTTGTAACGACTGACTATGAAGTCTCACGATACTGTAAAGTCTGATTATGAAGTCTCACGATACTGTGAAGTCTGACTATGAAGTTACACGATAACCGGCTTGTAACGACTAACTATGAAGTCTCACGATACTGTGGCGTCTGATTATGAAGTCTCATGATAACCGCGTTGTAAGATCTTATTATGAAATCTCACGACATCCATTAGTAGAACTGTTAAGATATTCCGACTATGAAGGCTGCCGAACAATTATATTTTATTACAGCATAGCTTTGTTAGATTTTATGTAATATGATGAGATAATTAAAGGAATAAATCTCACGATAGTTTATCTGTTAAGATATTCCGACTATGAAGGCTGCCGAACAATTATATTTTATTACAGCATAGCTTTGTTAGATTTTATGTAATATGATGAGATAATTAAAGAAATAAATCTCACGATAATTTATCTGTTAATATTATGACTATTTGTCAGTTCAATCGCGCGATATTTTGACTTTGAAATCTCACGATTGTCCGTCTGTAAAATCTTATGTTAGTCCATCTGTAACATGGACTGTAACAACAACATATAACTTACTAAACCCTTTGTAGAATTACACAACTAAAGATAGACTATTACACTCTTTACACAGGTAAGTCACCGTTTCAACCACTAAAAGTAAATAACTACAGAATATTACATTGGTTCCACGAGTAAGTCACCGTTTCAACCACTGTAATAATCTGTAGTTATTTACTTTTAGGAACCAAACGAGTAAGTCACCGTTTCAACCACTTACTCGTGTAAACAGTGTAATATTCTGTAGTTGTTTACTTCTAGTGAACATTTCACCTCCATTAATTACACAATTATGTGTTACATCAGGAGCGGTTAATGAATGTATATGTTGCTTTACGAGCATTCAAGTGATTTACACGAATCTTCATAAGCAGCCAATCGATTTACATGTTTACACATCATGAACAACCAATTGATAAATCTTTAACATCATGAACAGCCAATTGATTCCTTTGTTACTTTCGTGACTTCTACAGTAATAATATATCATATAACATACGTTTCCAATAGTAACATTTACTGTACAATACTCGTCTATGTGTGCTGTATAACGTGGAAGTATAGTATTATACTGAGGACTATATAGGACTCGTGTCCCCTTTGTGACATAATCAGAATAAAATATGGACCAAGAAAAGTAAAGTAAACGCTCAATATGGACCAATAAAAGTAAAGTAAACGCTAACGATTTGTCATCCGTTTCTGTAAATATTTTTTTGCCAATGAAACGTCTAACTTATATAAAAGCCAGTGTGTGTCACGTCACGCCGAGCTTGATTTCTCGAATTAGGAGTTATGAAAGCCAAAATGCATTTATTCAGATAGAATAGTTCGATTACTGTCTGCCTATTACAATTTTGGTGGGGCCGTAAGGAGATGGGGTTCCGTGTAACCTTATAACTCTAGTGGTGAGTGTTGGTATAACAGCCTAAAGTAAAGACGCAGTTTGGGATCACCTAGCCTAGAGTAGAGGGGGTTCCGTGAAACGTTATAAGTGTAGTGGTGAGTGTTGGTATAATAAGCCTAAAGTAAAAACGTAGTGTTTGATCACCTAGCCTAGAGCCAAGTGCGTAAAATTTATCATGAAAGTAAAAATATCGATTCAATTTTAAACTTAAATTATTTCTAAATTAAGCTAATTTATGTTATATCACTAACGTTTTTAATAAAAAACAAACCTCTTTAATCAACGGAGTCTCTAAATTAATAAATCAACAAATATTTTTCCAGTTTTGTTGTCTATATATTTCATTTTATACTTTCAGTACCTAGACTAACAACAATATTAGGTTATACTTTAGTTGCTAAGCAGCATGACATAAAAGCCAATGCTGAAAGGTAGTGTTACGAAAACGTACCGGCTTTCCTATATATTATAAGTTGTTAATCTAACTAATTTTTACTAATAATTATTCTATGAATACGCCACGAATTCATTTCATGAATGATCTTAATTTTGATTGGCTTACAAAGGAATTTACCGACGTTTGACTGCACTTTTCTGCCTCTTTGTTGGTCAAGTTTGTTTTCGCAAAATTTAGGGTATACTATGGAGTGGGGTGGTAGCACTTGCCCCGTCATTTTTGATGGGTTATACGCTGGTTAATATACATAAAAAGAGCGTGTTATAGACATTACAACCTTCTGTATTCCCAAGCCACAGATGTACAGAAACACCACAAGCATGTTCTTTAGAAGTCAGAAAATTATTTGTTTCGTTGTGAATTAGTTAAGCAGAGTAAACACGGAACCTCACCAGACTTTAACGGTGTCACAGCGCCATCTATTGAATATAGCTGGCAACTTGAATTTTTTATAGTCACATTTTACTAGTGTATACGCTGTCACAGATGTATCCCAATGTTCGATACTATTCAATTAAATGAAGTAGCCCAGTTATTTATCGATGGATACGCAAACATTGTTAGGATAATGCGCAAAATGTTACCATGATATACATCTTGGAGTACGTTTACTGATTTTTAAGTAATAAAGAATCCTGGACATAAAAACGTGTTCAATTTATTGTGTGTGAGATAGTTAGATAGCATCGAAATAAAATGTGATCACTATGCATACATAGAGTTACTTAACAAGATCCTACCCATAGCGTAACACTTTAGTGAACACTACCTTGACATTTTTTTTGTAACCCCTTGGGGCTCCCGTAAAAGATTTCATCGCAAGGTGCACTCTAGAGACAAGTAAAACCGGTCTTTCCTGGGGAGAAGAAACTGTAATACAGAACGATTACCTTGTTCGAATAGCAGGAGCCTTTCTCAAACACGGGAGCTATGTGTGTTCCTAAGAATGATAACATTGTGATTTGTAAATACCCCCCCCCCCAACTTTTTATTTTCGTAAAGATCCTATGTTTTCTATATTCACGTTCTAAATCTGTATACAGATAAGCTGCGATTATTTGAGAACATGTCTGAGGACACCAAGTAAGTGAAGTCATTGAGGTATGTTTTCCGGCAAGTATTTTAACGCCCCTTTGATAGTTTATAATTATTTTATGCTTCAAAGTAAAGTTTACAGTAAGAATAATGTAGGGTAAAGTTCTGTAAACTATTAGAAACTTTTATTTAATATTTCTATTTTTAATTTCACAAACTCAACTAAAATTATTGAATACCGTGTTCTTTTTTATGGATCAACGTATGTTCGTAATTCGTTTGTTTTATTATTTCTTTATATCGGCCCGGCATGGCAGGTGGTTAGGGCACTCGGCTCGCAATCTGCGGGTCGCGGGTTCGAATCCCCGTCACACCAAACATGCTCGCCCTTTCAGCTGTGGGGGCGTTATAATGTGACGGTCAATCCTACTATTCGTTGGTAAAAGAGTAGCCCAAGAGTTGGCGGTGGGTGGTGATGAGTAGCTGCCTTCCCTCTAGTCTTACAGTGCTAAATTAGGGACGACTATCGCAGATAGCCCTTGTATAGCTTTGCGCGAAATTCAAAACAAACAAACAAACAATTTCTTTAAATTCCGGAAAGGCCTAGCATGACCTGGTGATTAGGGTACTCGATCGCAATCTGAGGGTCGCGGGTTCGAATCCCTTTTCAGCCGTGGGGCTTTATAAAGTGACGGTCGATCCCATTATTCGTTGGAAAAAAGTAGCCTAAGAGTTGGCGGTGTGTGGTGTTGACTGGTTGCCTTCCTATCACTGCTAAATTAAGGACGGCTAACGCAGATAGCCATCGAGTAGCTTTGCGTGAAATTCAAACCAAACTCAACCAATTCTAGGGTTACTAGTACTAGTTTAACAGGAGTTGTCCGGAAAGTTGTAGCAAACAGAAATATTTCAACTATCCCAGTGTGATTGTGGACGAGGCCTAAGGGTTCATAGACTGTTAGTAACCTTAAATACCTTTATCTCTGTTATAAATAATACAAAAATTCTGCATCTGTACATAAATAGTATAACATTATAACCGATAAGTCAACTTGGGAAATAAATCACCCACTGCTTATAATAGATAAAAAAACATCTTATTA